CTGAGGTTGCATTTTGTTCCTTCTCGTCATTTTGTGTAGCACTGTCTTCTGACCTTTGTTGTAGATCTTTGCTGTAGTTATAACCTTCACACGTACTGAAATTCAGCTGCAGCTCTACAATGTTTGGAGTTATCCAGCTGCATCTGGCTTGGGTCTGGCTGCTGTGGTCAGCTCCTTCCCGCTGCTGCTCTTGAGGGTGAACCTGTTTTCCCCTGTGGCAAAATGTTCTGCTCCTGGACTAGCTGGTTGGATCTATCCTCTACACTCTCTGCAGGGATTGCAGCTGCAAGGTTATACCCCAGGCGTGTATTCCAGGTCTGAGCTGTGCCTTGAGGGGGCAAGTTGAAGTAGGTGGAAGAGGAAGCTCTCCCACACACTCACTGGACCTGGGCTAGGATGTGTTCTGGGGGTTCCTGGAAAGGCAGAATTTCTACTTGGCGGGTGGGGTGGGCTAGGTACTGTGCAGTGGAGGTGGGCGGCCCAAGGGGATGGGAGAGGGTCCGGCCCATGCTGTGACTGGGCTGGGACTGGTCCTACCAGCGCAGGGTAGCAGGAAGCTCTCCATACACTCACCGGACCTGTGCTAGGACTGGGTCTGGGGGTTCCCAGAACTCCACAGAAATTCCTACTTGGCTGATGGAGTGGGGGAGGTACTGCGGAGTTGTGGGGGGTGACCCAAGGTGATGGGAGAGGATCCGGCCCACACTGCGTCTGGGCTGGGACTGGTCCTGCCAGCGCAGGGTAGCAGGAAGCTCTCCACACACTCACCAGACCTGGGCTAGGACTCTCTTGAACAATTTCTACAATGAATTTTTCATAGCTTAGGGTTTGAAGATCATTCATTTACTTGATTAAATCTCCTCCTATTTTATTTTACTTGTAGCTATTATTATTGGGATTATTTTATCGATTTCATTTTCAGGTAGCTTAAAAATAATACATTGAAAATTCTAATCATTTAGTACATTGATGTTGTACATTCATTTATTATTTCTCACAAATTTTAATGGAATTTTTAGCAAATTTTACATATGACTCTTATAGAAAAAGAAGAAGCTATTTGACTCCTGCTATCTACTTTTGACACATCTTTTTCTGGCCAAATAACTGTGGCTTACATTTACAGTACTATGTTGACAATACTAGTGAGAGTAGGCACATTACAGGAAATGTTTCCATTTTCCACAAGGAATACCTGAACATCTATGGGTATAGTCTCTATGAACTTAATTTTATTGAGTCATATTCCTTTTTTTAATATGAAGAATCAAATTCAGAATGCTTCCTTTGCACACTGAGCTGTATCAGTGGCCCAAGTTAAATTCCTTTTACAACTAAACTGTTGAGAGATTTTTATTTTAAACAATGTGAATTTCATGAAATACATTTTTTGCCTGTGTCAATAATATCGTGTTTTCAGTTGTTCCTTCTGATACTGTTGCTATGACTTTATGATTTGCATGCATGAAGCCTTCTTTGTATCTTAGTTATAGATTATACTTGATCATGAGAAATGATCCTTGAGTTGTGATACGGACGTTATCATGCCAGTGTGGTGCTGAGAATTCCATTGCAAATGTATACCGAGTGCATATATTGGCTTGTTATTTCTTTTCTAATGTTGTTAACAGAGGAATATTGACCTCATAAAATAAATGTGGACACACTTTCAGTTTTAAGGAAGAATGTAAGAAGAAACCACGTTGCTTTTTTTTTAAATGTTTTGTGAAATTCCACCATCAATTCATCAGTTCCTGAGCTTTCCTTTGATGGGAGACATTTTATTATTGATTGGAATTCTACAGTTATTATGATGCTTATATTTTACATCATTTTTATTGGTTGTGTTATATGTTAATGTATCTGTGTGTTCCAATTTTACAGTACGCTGATATATGAAGATTTCTAGTTGTATTTCCTACTTTTGGACATCTGTAGTCATTTTGTACTATACCCTTTGATTTCTTATTTTATTAATTTGAGTCTTTTCTTTTTTTAGTGCATCTACAGATTTTTCAATTTTGTTGATCTCTTCCAAAAACAATTAGATATAATGATATTTTCTCTCTTTTTTCCTCTCTGAAGCTACCTTTATTTCTGATTTGGTCTATACTATCGTTTCTTTTCTATGTTCTCTAGATTTAGACTTCCAAGTTTAGCTAAGTACTTCAACTATAAAGTTAGTTTATTTGAAATCTCTTTTCTTCACACAGCATGGGATTATTTGATAGGTTCCTTCTAGAACTACTTAGCTACATGCCATAATTTTTGATACCCAGTATTTCCATTATTTCCAAATATACACTGTATTTTCTTAATTTCCTTTATTTTTTCAACAATGGCCTATTGCTTGTTTAACATCATGCTGTTTAACTGATAAATACTCATAAATATTATAAAATTTGTCCACTTAGTATTTCATAATTTCATATCATTGGGGTCAGAAGGATAGTGGATATGGCTGCAGTGGTCTTACATTCAGACGTAGTGTGATGTCTAAGGTACCATTTATTCAGGACAATGTTCTCTGTACTCTTCAGAAGAAATGTCTCCTGCTGCTGTTGCAATGCTCTGTCTATGCTATCAGTTTCAATTTCCATAAAATGCCTTGTAGTTATTTCCATTGGCTCCTTGAAGAATTTTCTATCCATGTTGTTTGCCTTCTTTAGAGTGGTGTATGGAAGTTTTCAATTGTTATTGCATTATAGATATCTGTCTCCTACTGTCTATTAATATTTGTTGATATATTACAAGCTCAACTACATACAGACTTGCAGTTACATATCTTAGATGTTATATTTCCTTAATGAATTCATTTTATATCAATATAAATGCATTCTTATTTTTACATTTTTGCATATTAAATATTTTATAAACCATGAAGCATATGACATAGCTTGACTATCCTTTATCCTAAGTACTTGGAACCAAAGTTGATAATTCTTTTCAAATTTTTAATATGTGTTATTATATAATGGCATATTTTGGACATGACATGTTCTAAATGTACCTCACACAAACAAACCTAAAGATGAGTTTGCAATTATTTTAATATAATTTTAATGAAATAAATTTTTATATTACAAAATTTTCCAAATGGCAATCATCAAAATGTTTTAAACTTGTGAGATTGTGAATTTCAGGTTTTCTGAATATAAGTATTCAACCATCAAATGCCCTTCCCTTTTAGGACTTTACTAAAATGAAAATAAAATTGTTGAGTATAAAACAGCAAAAATGCAAGTGAGAATGCCCAATAGGAATAATAATGGGAATGAATGCCACAAATAGAAGAGAATGCATGAATAAGTGTATTAAGTAATGATGAAAAATATAAAATGCCTTAAAAGCAAGAATAATAGAAATAAGAGAGAAAATTGTGCTCAACTTCCTATTCTTGAGGCAAAATATAAGTGAATATACTAATTATGTAACTCAAAGAACAACTAACATAAGATTCATCTTAATCCTTAAGCCTTTTTTTTTTCTTTTTTCTCTTGTTCTTTTGTAGTTTCCACCTTAAAACCCAAGACCTGTGAGATTTGGGCACACACTGCAAGGTGACTGCCAGAATACTTATACACAGCACATTTCTTTCTTTCTTGTTTTTTTTTTTTTTTTTGTGACAGAACTAGGAATTGAATTCAGGCCCTTGCACTTGCCCGGGAAGCGTTTATTCCACTAAGCCATCTCCCCGGCCCGGCAGCGCATTTCTTTTCAGCTAACTTCAGCTAGAAGTGGCTGCATCACACCACAGTAGCCAAGAATGCTGACCATAGGGAAAGGATTCATTTTGCAATTATAAATACAAAATACTAACCCTTAATCTTCTTGCACATTCATTCCTCTCCATGGTCAGGGCTGAAACATGCATGCAATGTGAGTCATTCTCTGTGAAAATTGTCAAACTATGATTATAAAAGCCACACAGGAGATGGAGGAGCAGAAAAACTCCAGTCCTTTTTGATTTTGTTGTGCATTGTCATCTTACTTAGCAGAAGAATATATGTTCTGCATATTTCAAAAACTTACTCTTAAGTTTATATTTTTGCGTGTGATTATCATGATTCTAAGCCACAATCAGGCCAATTGCTTCACTGTAGCATTATTTTCATAATGAGATGACCTTCCTATTGATCTCTTTAAACTCATCCCTTATATATATAGGCCACTGAATTGGGAATGTGATATTTTCCATTGTATTGAGATATAAAGGTAAGAAAATAAGTTATTAAGTTAGAAATTACTTTTAAAAGCTAATGTTTGGATGCAATTAGTCAAAAAAATCCATGTCAATAATATTATTAGCATCTCTTAGTACTTTAAATGAGGAAGTTTTGTGCTAATACTGACTGGAGAAATCTTATGTCATATCTTGTACCCTGAAAACCTACTTTAAAGATAGTATATAATGTATTAACCATTGGTATTCTTCTATTATTTTCTTATTAAATTTAGTTTTATATTTTCCATGAAATAAATATTTTAAAAATCATGTCCTAATCCTAAATTTGGGTTCACAAACTTTCCAAGAAAACAAACCCAAAAATTAATACTTAAATTGATACAAAAGAACCAAAATTTCTCAGTAAGTCAATAGCTTTATTAAGCACATACTATTTTCACTTCATTATAGTACACAATAAATACAAATTTTCTATGGTAAAAACAACTATTGCAGGCACAAAAGACAGTATAATTTGCTTGAACAGTTAAGAAAGAAGCCCTGTCTTCAGTGAAGTGATGCTGAATTTCTTGATCTCTAACCATTGCAAACTACAATTTCCTGTAGATTTTGGTGCTGAGTAGATAATAATTAACATTCAGTTTGGTTTGAAGTGAATGGATATGAAGACTTCAGCTGAAGGTGTTCTTAGCTTGGTCCTTGTAGTGGCAAAGCCTGGCTTGCCATAGAGATTAGCAGAAAGAGGAGTAGCACCTCCTGTAGGAAAAGGGTCTGTAGCTACAGCACCCAGAGTTGTACCCATAGCCATAGCCAGAGCCAGAGCTGCATCCACAGCCATAGCCACAGCCAGAGCCACAGCCAGAGCCGTATCCACAGCCAGAGCCATA